GACAGCCTGAGGAGGTCAAGAGAAGGGGAAGGTCTCCCCCCGACCCAAACATTTCCTTTAACCTTTTTGGCTCCTCTTGGGCCCCTGTATGGATTGCCTGATGGGCATATGGAGGGAGGGTCAGGGGGCTTCCTGGGAGATGGGTGGAGTGTGGAGAAGGCCTGATAATGCAGCAGAAGGATCTGGAGATCCTTCCCAGAAGGGGTATGAGGACAGAGACCTGGGGTCTCCAGCCTAGTGGCTAAAGGACCCAAGAGAACTGTGACTTTTTTTTTTTTTTTTTTTTTTTTAGTTGTAGATGGACACAATACCTTTATTTGTTTTTATTTATATGCGATGCCGGGAATCAAACCCAGTGCCTCACACAGCTAGGCAAGTGCTCTACCACTGAGCCACAACCCCAGCCCTGAACTGTGACCTTTAACCTCTCTTAGAGTCCAGCATTTCCAACTCTCCAATCCAAACAGGGTCTTCCAGGTTAGAGTGTGACCCAAACCAGTCCCCAGAGTGAATAGGGAGATGTTTCATGAGAGCTACCAGGAAGAAGAGCAAGACATGATGGGTAGGGGCCAGGAAAGCTTTTAAATCTGGCCCCAATTCCTTCTCCTGAGGTGGGTAGGTGGTCTTGTCATGCCTCCCCAGGCCACAGCCCTAAACATGGCCTTCTTCTACCTTCCCAGGCCCTGTTTGATATGCACATCAGATATGGTGCCCTTTGCAAAACTGTTATTTGTTCAGAAGCCCAAGGAGGGGGAGGGAGGGAAGGCGCTGCCTCCTCTTTCCTCCCTCCTCCTCCTGCCACCTCTACTTGCAGGGACCTGCAGGCAAATACCAACCCCAGTCACTCTCACTGGCTAGCTGCACAGGGCTGCCACTTCCCCAGCTCCCCACATAGCTGTGTTCAGAGTTTCTCCTCAGCTGCCGGAAACAGCCTGGCCTCTGAGCTTCCCACCACCCACCACAGGGCCTCTCAACCCCAGCCTAGCCTGTTCCCCAAGCCTGGAGCTCAGAGCTCCCCTGTGCCTCCCAGAGTCTGAGCCTGGCTGGCTGTGACATATTTGCCTCATGTCTCCCCACTTCTCTGTATCTCTAAGAATAGAGGCAGACCTTGCATTAATCCATTCTTTGAGCAGCTTCTATGACTTGTAAGGGTGCAGGAAAAACCAGGCAGAGGGGAAGCAGGCTCCTGAGGTAGGCAGTGGGCTAGGAGAGCAAATGTCTCTGGAACAGATGGGCCAGGGCTATACCTCCTGTCGTCTGCTACTTCCAGCTAATGACCTTGATCTCAGTTTCCTGTCTTTAAATGGAGGTGGTGGCAAGGACGAATTAAAGGAGGCAGCAAGTGCCCAGGACAGTTGGGCACATAGTAGGTGCTTAAAACAAATTCCTCTCTCTTGCTCTTTGAGCCTCTGAAGAAGAGGTAGGATCAAATAAACCAGGGCCCTTGGAGAGAAGCCTCCAAGAGGAAGGGCCACCTTGGGGGATAGGGACACAGGTCTATTCTATTTCACTCCAGGGAGAAGGGCTGAGCTGTGCCTGAGCCCTGGGCCCCTCCTGTGTTGCTGCTCTTGTGTTCCTTGCCTGGCTGGGGAGGGGGAGAGACCCTCGGGAAAGGTGTTCCTCACAGGTGGAAGGAAGTTTGGTGGGGAGCCTGATGTGGCAGAGTGCCTCTGGGCCTTCAACACCTGCCCCCCACGGACTCCCCCAACTCATAATCCGATTTATATTCCTATTCCCTCCTCTGGACCTGTCACCATGGCAACAGTTTTCTCAGTTGCACTTCATCAGCTTGTCGGCAAATCTTTTTTTCTGCCCCCTCCTTCAGTCTCTCTTTCTTCTTCCTCTGGGGGTCTGCTTTTCCGTGGACTCAGGGTGCTCACCTGTGTCCTTATCGTTCAGCTTCTCCGATTCTCCTTTGCTCCTTAAGGACACTCTGCATCCTCTGTCCAGACCTCTTTCTGTAGCCTCCCTCCTATCTATTCCTTCTCAACTCCACAACTGTAGCAACCAGTGGGGGTTAGACAAGAACCTGTGTCCCTCCTGCTATCAGGGCAGAGAAGGGAGAGCCCTGGAGGGGCAGAGTTAAGTGGGGTGTGGGTCTGTCTGCAGTGATGCAGTTGGTGGGTGGCCTGTTCATCTCTGGCCAGGGGCTGGGAACAGTGGGGAGGGACAGCAGTATTGGGCAATGTCTTCTTCAGCCCTATGTCAGAATCATGATGGCCCTGGGGTGTCCTGTGAGGCACTGCCCTTGGTTTGCTTCCCAAATCATTGTCAGAGACCTTAGCCAACGCCTACAATTACCACTGACAAGGGGTGCTTCTTTTTTTTTTTTAGAGAGAGAGAGAGAGAATTTTTAATATTTATTTTTTAGTTCTCGGTGGACACAACATCTTTGTTGGTATGTGGTGCTGAGGATCAAACCCGGGCCGCACGCATGCCAGGCGAGCGCGCTACCGCTTGAGCCACATCCCAAGGGGTGCTTCTTGAAAACCCGACTTTGGCCAACTTCTCTCCCTCCCAAGTTCCAATCAAGTCTCTCCACCTCCTCACCAGTCATACCTATTAGAATATCCTACTATCATGCCTAATTCAATAACCCTAAACATGAACCGTCTTCCCCAAACCATCATCCCTCTTTGTACTCCCCTGTCACTACTTAATGTAAAAATCTTGGTGCTTCCTGTTGGTATTTCGCTTCATGTCCTGTAACTTTCACAGGATGCAGCATGGTGTCAACGTGCCAGGGTATAGGTACCCCTCTGTCATTCTCCGTAGTCCAGAGTGTATCGATTCTCCTTGTGAAATGCCATTCATATCTGCCTCTGTTCCTTTGCCATTCCAAGTATATCACCCTACACCAAACACCCAGCAAGCCACCCTAGGCCCTCACTGCTGTCCCTGAGGTGGATGCCTCTCTTTCGCCTACTGTATTCCCTACTCAGAAATCAGCCCTGTCTTAAGCACAGCTTTCTTCTCCTTCTCCTCACCCCTCCTTAGTTTTCTTCTTCCTGTATTGAGCACCTTATCTTGTTCTATGTTCTACGCTCTTCATATGTGGAATCCCGATCTTCACAATACTTTATAAATGAGATATTATCCTATTTTAATGAAGAAGAAATCAGTGCTTGGAGTGATTGATTTCTTCGATGCTCTTCAGTTAGTAAGCCAGAGCCAGAACTCAAATCCAGATTTGTAGAGTTCCCAAGGTAGTGTTTTTTACCCATATTACTCTTCTACTCAAACACTTCTGAGCCGATTTCCTTATTTTTCCATTAAGCTTTCAAGGCTTATCTGATGTGACTCCATCCCATACAAATATCTCCTACGTATGTATACATATATCTTGCTTTTCTTCCTTTCTTTCTCTCTTTCTTCCCCTCCCTCCCTCCCACCCCTTTCTTTCTTTCTTTCTTCAAGCCAGGGCACTCTACCACCGAATTACATTCCCAGCTCTTTTTATTTTTATTTTATTTTGGGACAGGTCTTGCAAAGTTGCCCAGATTGACCTCAAATATGATCCTCCTGCCTCAGTCTCCTGAGTCAATCTTGCTACTTCTCAATGTGACATGAATTGGTATCAATGAAAAACATCCGTGCACTTTAGGGATTGTTTTCATCTCTGTCCTGTTAATTATTTTGATCAACACCTTAAGTGAAGATCTAATATCACAATTTACAGATAACAAGCCTGGAAGGATAGTAGACATTGAAAGACAGGATAAAGATCCATAAATTGTCTCCAAGCATAGAATGGTAGGTAAACCAAATAAGATGAAATGTTTAGAAATGCTAGTAAGAGGGCTGGGGATGTGGCTCAGCGGTAGCGCGCTCGCCTGGCATGTGTGCGGCCCGGGTTCGATCCTCAGCACCACATACCAACAAAGATGTTGTGTCCGCCGAGAACTAAGAAGTAAAAATTAAAAATTCTC